CCCAGCAAAGGATCCAAGAAACAAGTCTGAACCTTGAGGAACGCTATCATTTAGAAAGAATCTGTGGTTTTTTCAAACACTTTTCAGCTTCAAAGAATCTTAACTTTGAGTCATGAAAAAGTAAAAAGTTATAAAACTGTACTGTTCTCTAAGTGAAATAAGCCAGACACAAAGAGATCAATAGTATACAATTCTACACATACAAGACAGAAGCACAACACAGGTTACCAGTGACGAGGGGGAGATTATGAATAATCAGCTAGGACACTGGCCCCCAGCCAACCAACCCAGATGAAGATGAGTGGAGAAACTTTCAAAGGAATCAGCAAGTCCAACTAAACTAATCTGTGATGATGCTTTAGCTCTGCAGTAAAAACCAAGAGGGCCCTCTAAAACTCTGTTGATCTGTGCTTTTGCGACTTCTTGTTTGGACCTAGATTTTCCCTTAACCATTGGCAATGTTATTTTTAAAAGATATGTCTTACAAGAAAATAGAACGGTGTATATATAAACCAATTCAGGTTTAGACAGTTACCCTTTGTCCTATTTATAAGATAACCATTTCGACCTAACCACTTTCACAGACTTTATCTCCTTTCATACTCAGAAGAGTCAGTAAAACCCCCAATTCACAGGCAAGAAAATTGAGGCACTCATATGTGTTGACTTTTTATTTTATGCACTGAGGAATGTGGCATCTGACCATCTCTAAATGTTCTACAACATGGATAGAATTTCCCTGGTTTCTAAAGTATAGGGAGAGAATGCAAAGTAGAAATTCTCCCATTTGACCAAGGAACAGATGGTCAGATTGCACAAACACTTTAGTGGATCAGGATCCAGTTTGGCTAAGTACAGAAGATGAAAGACAACTGGAGCTGGCAGGAGGATAGAATGAAGAGAATATTAGCTATGCATAGTGGCACAGGCCTGCAGTCCCACACTCTGGGAGGCTGAGGCAGTAGAATCACAAGTTTGAGCCTAGCCTAGGCAACTTAGCATACTTAGAGAGACCCTGCCTCAACATTTAAAAGAACAACAACAACAACAAAAAAAGCAACTTTTTTTTACAGGACTAAAGATGCCAGGGATTTGGCCTCAGTGGTTCCGCCACCTGCCTTGCAAGTGCATGGACCCGAGTTCAATCCCCAGTACCAAAAAAATAAATAAATAAAATAAAGGACTAAAGATGGAGCTCAGTTTGAAGGCCCTGGGTTCAATCCTCAGTACCATGACAGGGGATGTACAGATGTAAAGAATGTAATCTATATTATATTTGAATTAATAATATTCCAAAGTTTCAAGTAAAGTAATTCCACACAAACTCTACTGAACCTAGTTTACAATTCAGCAACTGAGAAAGCTCTTCTCCCCCAACAGATTCATTCAGACATTGTATTAAACACCTAGCACCTGGAAAGCACCAGCCCTATCAAAGATACAGACACAAGCTATTCTTGAGGTCTCAGCAATCTGTGGACAACATAAGACAGATACACAAAAAGAGGCTTCAAGCAGCACATTCCTCATAGGAGGGGGCACTGTTGGTCATCTGTGATGATGAAAGCCAATGATAAATCGTTCTGGAGCTAAGTAAAACTGCTGGTTTTCTGATTTCCAGGGAGAATGCAGGGTATTAGTTCTTTCTGTGAACTGCAAAATATAAATGAGGCTACTTTTGTGCATTACCTTTACTATATTCACCAAAGGCAAGGATTTCCCAATGAGTTAAAAACCCCTGTGCATTCATATCCAAAAAGTGATTTTAATGAAGAGTTCTGTAAACAGTTTAATATTACGTCAACTCATTCAGAGGTTGTGTCACTATTGTGATTAAATTAAAATTGAACGACAGGAGTCGATCACCAAAGAAGACAACACTCAGGAAAGATAATGCTGAAAGGTTCAGCTTTGTGTTTCTCATCCTGGAGGGCTGTCTGCATTTCCAGACCACAGTGCCAAGAAAAATTCCCTCCTTGCCCTCATTTATAACATCTCAGTACTCATTTAATACACATCTCAATTCCTGAAGCATTCAGAGGGAGAAAAAAACATTACGTTTTCTTTTCCAAAAATTTTCAGGGTAGCAGAAAAGAATAATTACCAAATTTATTCCATTTTTATTTCAAACTTTAGCTTTCAAAAAAACTGTATAATAAAGGCCTACAATCAAACTGGGTGACCTCTTACTGTGAGATGCAAAATGTACCAACTAAGCAGAGAGAAAAACCTAAGCATTTTTGAAACACTGATAACATCAGCACAATTCTTCACTGGTTTTCTTTAAACAAATAAACAACAGTTTGTGAATGTTTGCTTCTGACAATAGGCTATGGTCTTTTTAAGGAAGATTCTCACGTCTCTTGGGGATGGCAAGCCCATTCCAACTGGATACTGGTTGTTAAAGCACCAAAGGTGAAAGAACAGGTTGAAGTGCATTATGGTTTGGATATGAAATGCCCCCCAAAGGCTCATGTATTTTGAAGGCTGGGTCCCCAGGGCAGCAACGTTTCAGAGGTGGAGCTTTTGGTGACTGACTGGATCATGACTCCATCAGTGGATTAATCCACTTGTGGGTTCACATAACTTGATGGGTTGTGGGGAGATGGAGACTTAGGAGGTGGGGCCTTGGGCTCTACCTTGTCCCTGCACCGTCCTCCCAGGCTCGCTCTCTCTGCTGCCACCCACAATGAGGTGAGCTGCTTTGCTCCTCGATGCCTGCCATGATGATGGCCTCACAACAGGCCCGGAGGAAATGGAGCCAAGGGACCATGGGCTGAAACCTCTGAGACTGGGAGCCAAAATAAATCTTCCTTTAAATTGCTTTTCTTGGCAACAGAAAGCTAACCAAGGAAAATCATCAAGGTGAGGGACTAACCTTACAGCATAAAGTAGAAACAAAATGATTTAGACAGCTCCTGAGTATATTTTAAAAGGCACAGTGTTCTAATGAAAAATCACACACTTCGGTGATCAAAAGACCAAAGATTTATTGTAGGCATAAGCCTGAGCAAGTTCCTCAAGTCGACTGAATTTCAATTTACTTATCTGTAAAATTCAATCATTTAACACATATTAAGTAACAAGCAAAATTCCGGTGTTGGGCATAAAGTAATGCATAAATCCTTGTCACCATGTAGCTTACATTCTAACAGAAAGAGTACACAGAAATATACAGGAAAAAACAAACAGAAATTTAGAAACACAGTCAAATGGTCATGAGCATCACAGAGAAAAATAATGCAGGAGGAGGATTACAAAGAACAGTCAGGGAAAGCCTCAGTCAAAAAGAATACTTAGTCAAAGGAAGTGAGGGAGGAAGCCCTGAAGATAGGAGGAGTTCTAAAAGGAAGCAGCAGCAGCAAAGGCTCTGAGGTAGAAACATGTTTGGCTTGTGGAAGGAACAGTAAGAAAGCAGAGTGACAGGGTACAAGGAGCACAGTGGAAAATAAGGGCAGTAAAGGGTGGTAAGGGGTGTATGGGACAGGATCCTGCAGGGCAGCTAGGCTACTAGAAGGGCACTGGCTTGGAAGCTACTGGAAGGTTTGGAACACAAAATGTTTCGCCTCACTTATGAATCAGAATAAACACTGACCTCATAGAATTCTTTTGGGAGAACCAAACACAGTGTGAAAGAGTTTCCTAAACTGGAAAGTCGTACAAATGTGAAATATTCTTATTACAGTGGACCCTCAAGTTACATCTGGTCTGACATACGAACAATTTGGGTTAATTAGGTTAATGGAAGATTCATCTGCCTCTTGTTATCTGTAGTGTGTACCCAGGTAAACATCCAGATCTCATCTGTGCTGACAACTTGAGTTACAACCAGCCCTTGGGAACCAATCAAGTTCGTAAGTCAAGGGTCCAGTGTATATCCCCAAATTTTTATATGTTTCGTTTTTTTTTTACATCAGATAGCTTTGCCAAACTCTTCTGCACAAAGTGGTAAATACAAAGAGCCACTCTCTTAGTTCTAAGGCAGTTCTATTATACTGTATCTAAGAACTCAAGGAACATGGGTTTCTGTTTTTATGTAAAACCATGTACAATTATATTTCAGCCTAAAATGAACGATGTGAAAAACAATCTCACCACTAAGCAAATGGACAAGTGAGTCACAAAATAATATGTTCTTAGTGTTTTCCTGTGTTCTTCCCAGAATGAAAAAAAAGGAGACACAAATGTTAGGTAAGAGATTCTCTTGTTATCACAATTACTTAGTGAAATTTCTTAATTACCAACATATATAATATGTACACAGGGCAAATCTGCATTATGGAATGATGCTAAAGTATGACGCAAATGTTAATAATTAAATTACTGAATTAGATAAATGTCTCTTCTGATATTAAATGGTTCATGATATTACTTCTTGGAAGCAATCACAGCAACTGAGGGCATGTCAACTTGAGAGGAAAAAGAAGAATATCAAAATGAATTGGCTCTGGAGATGGAGACAAGTAATCTCTCCCATAACTCTGGCCTAGGACGTTGTCTGTTTTTTGTCATTTTTATTTTATTTTGTCCTTTCATCTAATGTGTGGCTACCACTATTGTGATATGAAAATAAATCATATTATCATCATAAATTTCTACCCCAAACTCCACGGCCAGGTTGTCAGGTGACTGGACACTGCCATCCGATGTCTTGCTGGCAATAGAGAACCCCCACTTAACTTTTACTGCGCCCAAAACTTCTATGCACTTCAACTGTGTGCATCAACGCATTCCATCTTAATCCACACTGAGGGCTGTGTAATCATCTCCATCCGATGTTCGGAAGTAAACACTCCAATGTCACACATTTGGTAAAAAAGGGAACTTGCTTTGGCGCCTAGGCATATCGGCTCCAGAAACAACACACTTAAAATCCCTCCTGGACGGACAATAGTGCCGTACTTAGCTCCCTACCTAAAGCCACTAGATACAAAACAAAACTCACGTTCTACCTCCCTCCTGTCTCTCATTATCCTACTTCCAGGGGAAAACAACTTAAATTTCAGTCACCTGGCCTCAAAACATCTCTCACGCCTCCCACAGGAAGCTGGTACCTGGGGCAGCCTGGCTGACTTTTGTCAAAATTTCACTGAGCACAGGCCACACACAGAGAATCGCCCGAGGAGAGCAAAGCGACCCCACAAAACGCGAGGCTGTGGTCAGAGCGCTATCTCGCACCATCCCAGGGGTACGTGAGACCCGGCCCTCTGCGCTCCGGAAGGAGCTCCCGCCTCCCTTCCTAGCCCTCCAGCAGCCCCCACCCATCCCCTCAGCGCCCCCAACCTCCCGACTCGAGACCCCAGTTCCCTAACTAGCAATCCCTGCCTTTACCTGCTCTTCTGCTTCCTCCATGGTGCGGCAAGGGAGTCACGTGACAGACCCGGAAGCGGGAGGAGCCGGGCGCCGTACCGAGGCCTGCTGGGAAATGCAGTTTTAGCCGCATCTGCGCCGGCAGCCTCACCTGACTTGGAGAAGGGTCTGAGGTATGCTTCTTGTAACTCAGCGGAATCCATTGCTCTGGTTTATTTTATTGTTGTTCTCATTTCTGTGGTTATTAAAATATTTTAAAATCAATGTAGACATATCAGTTGCTGGGTGTATAGCTGATCATGAATTATTTCACTTGACCCTCCCAGCAGTCCCTCCTATGATTCCCCTCTGTCCGGGAGATTGTTGCTTACAGGTCGCTAAAGAGGCCAAATCTGGGTTAGGATTTGGCCCTGTCTGACAAGTACTGTGATTATCATCACTTGGTGCTTAGTCTACCATTGCTCCCCACCCCCCTTTAAATATATAGGGAGTGAATATAATGTCATCTTTGTAATGGAGAGCTGCTACAAAGAATGATTTATATTCCAACAAATATTTAGCACCTACTGCTTGCTCTTTTAAGTTGACATCTTCTGGCATGTGAACATTGAAATATTTTTTGAGAAATTGAATTTTTTAAAAGTCTGTATTGTTTATATATTTGTTATACTTTTCTTAGGTGCCTTCTATAGGCAAATATTCAAGATAGAATTTAACTTGTTCATGGTAAAATCTGCACAACTGCTGTATTACTTCCAGCCTTTGGAATAATTGATCCTCTCTGCATGTTTCTGTACATTCTGAATGTTCCCAGTCTTCAGGAATCTGCGGTATCTTTCCAGAAGACAGGTGTTTCCTTTCCATTCACCAATAAGCTGTTGGGAGCAATTCTACATAAGTTTGGGGAAAATCGTTGCATAATTAAATTATGATTAGGCCTAGTTTTCCTGCCTACAGGCTGGCTATGGCATTTGAAGACATAACTCCATTTTTGCCTCCGGTCACAGCTAAAACCTCAGTGTTCCCAGGACGCTGTGATGCTCCAGGGCAGGATTAGATCAGCCAAAAACATCCTGGGGATGGACAAATTCCTAATTAACATAAGTTCTTCAGCAAACTAGGATCTTCATCAGCATCAGTTCCTCACTGTTCTAGGATTATGGCCACCACCCTCTGAATCATCTGTTACTCCCAATGTATGGAATAAAGGTATGGCAAGCTCAGGATCTTTTATCTTTGCTGCCCAGAGCAGCATTGATCAGGCCCAAAGCTCAGCTTCTTCTCTAAGTCTCGTTTCCTGTCTTTACTAATTAAAAGGAATTAATTAGTTCCTTGTGTTGTTGTAGCTCACAGGAGACCAGGGCTCACTTCAGGGCTTCTGGTAACGTCCCCTTTCTCTGTTCTTTACAATAAGCTAATAAGTAGCAGAGGGCAGCATAAATGGCATTCTGTGATAGATGTCTCAGTGCCCTCTTTGACTCTCCATGCCTCATTGACTCTAATCTAGTAGCACAGACCCAGCACTCTGCTTCCCTGAGTCTCTACCTATCCTTTGCTCAACCTATGATTCCTCAGTGGCTCAGAAGCCAGGATGGTCTCATCTCTTAGACATTCATCTTCTCCCTAGGCATAAACATCCCTTATCCCTGATGGGGTCTATCTTCCAGTATGATAATCACCTATCCCCAAGGGAATGAAGATAAACCACCCCAAAGGCATTTGGATATCCATAGGCAAGCACTCAGTCCCCTAACAACCTGTTCCACCCAAAAATTTCTAAGATCTGTTGCAAAGCAGACCAAGACCAAACTATTCATGATGGACTCCAAGTTCCAGGAAGACCTTTGTACAGACCAAAGAGGCTATGAAACTCCTCAGTCCAATATCTACAGGAGTTGGAAATAAGCTAAGCTCTTCTACTTTTCTGACTTTCTTTGCAAACTGTCATTTTCTTTTTCCCTTGTGAGCTAGATCCACCTAGAAACTTCTAGAACACAGCCTCTTCAAATTGGCACTCTCCTCTGCTTTGGTGAAAAACAGGTGATCAGGATAAGGAAGGAAAATAGAAGACTATTACCACTGTCGTCCATTCAGGGTGCTCTTGATTTACTGCTCAATTTTGTTTTGGTGAGAAGTCAGGCCAAACCTCAGGAGACAGAATGATTAAATGCTAGTAAAATTGCCACTGGAATCCAGAACAGTGTTTTGTTCTTTTTCTCTCCAAATTCTTTTTTTTCTTTCCAACAGTCAATGTGTGGACCCTTAAAATTTTGAAGACTTCACAACCTGGGGTGGGGGTGGGGGTGGGGGCTCTGACTTCCATCTTTCTAGGCTAGCGATCTTCCTCCTAACATTACCTGGCCTCTGAGGCCACCTGAGCTTCCTGCAGGTTATTACAGCCTAGCCCTGTGGTGATGATAGAATTAGGGGTAGGGATCAGCAGAAAGCCTTCACTGAAGGAGTCTTCTGAGAATCCAAATCAGTCCCTTGTGAAGGTCACTACTCTCTGATTTCATTGTTGAATTTGCTATCTGTACTACTTTGGCAGCTGGAGCTCCCTCAGTTTATATGTTGGGACGAATCTGTTTCACAAATTCTCCAGGGCATCCTTTTCTTTTGCCACGGGTTCTTCTCTGAGGGACTTCCAGATAGAGAAGGACCCAGTAGCAGCCCAAGCAAGCAAAGCTGAAGGCCAGCCATCCACTCTGGATTCTCTTACCTTCCTACTTTTCTAGAGTGAAGAATGTTCAGCCTCTTTCTTTTTCTCAAATCCAGTATCATGGATCTGATTTAAGAAGCAGCCAAAGTCTGCTACAAATTCTCCAAACATGTTAATTACTTTAAAGAACAATTTTTGAATTATAGAAACAGTGCATGTTTATGATATATGATTGGAAAAATATAAAAAGTAAAATTCAAAAGCCATTGATAATTCCTCCATTCAAGTCGTCACTGGTGGATATATTTTTTTCTTTTCTCCTTTGTCTTCCTCCTTTCTCCCTTCCTCCTCCTCTTTCTTTTTTCTTCTCCCCCCCTTCCTCTTCCCCTCCTCCTTTTCTTCCTCCTTTTCTTCCTCTTCTCCCCCTCCCCTCTCTTCCTCTTCTTTTTCTTCCTCTTCTCATTCCTACTCCTCCCTCTTTCTAAGTTTTTTCAACAAAAATCATGTCATCTTTTCCTCATTTGATCAAATTTAATAAAAGAAAATATTATCCCAAAACATTGTTTTAGAAGTATATATTATAATTACAGTCTATGAAGTCATTCTTTTTGGTGTATGCTTCAAGTACGTCTAACATTACTGTCATACAACTTATAAATATTTTCTTAAAAAGAAGTTGAAATGAAATCACTTGGTCATTGAAGCCTTAGAAGTTGCCATAAATGTTCACTGTACTTTAATGAAATGCCTATTAAATACTGTGATGTAGTGATTTGAATAACAGAAAATCATTTATTCACCCTTTGGATTCCTCTTCTATGTCTCATTAGCACATATTCCAAAGGCCATCAGTGTGAGTGTCCCCTAGATACACACTGCTTACATGCAACCCACTTACTGAACATCTTCCCCTTTTTGACAAAAAAGCACAAAACTAATTTTTTAACTCAACACATGAATTCAGACTGTTCAGAATCCAGTTGTTTGGCTGTGCCAAGAAAATGTATCATTTCATAATCTTTCATTTTTCCATCAAAATTTTGAAACAAAATATTTAAACACATCCTGCCATTCATTCCGAATATCATCTGTGAAACAAGGTCCATTGTTCAGCAAGAGTCCACTTTCAAGGTGTGTTTGTAGAAGAGCCTTTTCTCTTTCATGTACTTTGAGTCCTTCAAAGGTAAAAATATGAAAAATTGGAAAAGTGAAAAGAGGGGGAGCTTACTGCAGTAAGCAAAAGCAATGGCAGCCCCAGTATGCCTTAAACTTTAACATGACAATTATGTTAATTGACTATAAATTAATATTCATCTTTTATCTTTTGAACTCTGGGCCTCACCCCGAGCTACAGCAGAAGACCTTTTTATTTTTTATTCTGAGACAGGGTCTTGCTAAGCTGATAAATTTCCAGGCCGGGCTCAGCCTTGTGATCCTCTTGCCTTGACCCCCAAGGAAGCTGACAATACAGGTGTGTACCACCACACCTGGCTAATTATTCACTTTTTATATAAACAGTAATAGAAATGTTTCTTAGCCAAGAAGCTGTTTAATCCACCATACATCTGAATCTATACATGACAGGAAAATGCATAAAATATTTGAAATAAAAATAATTTTTTAAAACCCTGTAACGTTGGTTTAATACCTATACTTACCTCAAGTATTAGTTTGTACAAAGAAACCAAAATTTGAGCACCACAGCATTTCATTTTTTATTTTGTGGCGTTTCTGCTGTATTCCAGTCATGTATAGGATCGTCAAGGCTGGCCTGTGACACACAGGGAGTTGAACCACCATTTGTGGTGTTATTGTAAGAAGACACAAGCTTAGTTACAAGACCCTGACCCAGAAAGGAGAGTTAGAGCCTTTCTAATGTTTCTTTAAGGAGGGTATAAATTTGACTGGTCCTAGGGAGGATTTGTCCTTTCAAAAAAGGGAGTGTACCAAGGAGAACACAAGAAAAAGTTCACGAGATGAACAGGCAAGATGCCATTGCACCCCAAGATGAAGTGTAATTCTGATAAGACTCCATGTGGGACAGCCAACCTCAAGTCCAGAATATTTCAAAAAGCAAACAAATTCTACCTGGATGGGTATTTCTTGGGAGCAAGTCTTTCTTTTTATTTTTTAGTACATGTTTGCAGTACATGATGACTACATTTATCGTGGGGAACTGGGACATGTCCATAACACATCTTAACTCTCTTTCTCTCTCCTACCCCTTCCTTCACTCCCTGATCCTTCCATGTCTTGATCTGATTCCCATTTACAAAAGCTCTTTCCATTTTTTTCCTTTCAATTCTTTTTTAAAAAACCAGATGAGTATTTCTTGTGAGGATTCCTCAAATAACAGTGTAACAACTATTTGCGTAGCATTTACATTGTATTACACATGAAGAATAATCTAGAGATGATTTTAAGTATAGGAGAAGATGTGAGCAGTTTATGTTGCAAATACAATGCCATTTTATTTACAAGATGTGGGCATCTGAGGATTTGGACATCTCTGAGGATCCTGGAGCCAGTCCCCTGTGGCTTTGGAGGACAACTGTATTTTTATGTGGTTTGACATTTAGTGGAGAAAAATACATATGGGGCCCATAACCAGAACCAAAGGCCTCTCATTTCCAGCTGATATATCACAAACTTCTCTACATACATGGCTCCCCCAGGCCCCTGACTCCCTCCCCACCACCTTCCAAGGCCACCTGAAATGCTCTTTCTGTCAGCCCTTTCCCTCTCTCTGGTGCCTGTAAATCCTGCATCAAACTGAGGTGTTCTGGCCTTGCTATTCCCAAAGGCAGCTCCTGCTCCTTCTTCCTGATTCCCCTCTTCTTCCTGATTCCTCCTTCCCCTTTTAACTGGGCTCGAACACATGGCATTGGTCAGGTGAGTAGAAAGGAGGACGGACAAAAGCCTTGGATGGGAATGGTCATGGAGAAAGAAAACCCTATCCTGTCATTGGTGACAGACATCTCTACCAAATTGTCCCTGCTTTTCCCTACCCTAGCTCTCTTTCTTACAACTGGAATGACCAACTGGTCCAGAATACAATTTTGAGTGACTGTGGTATGTGGGATGGATTTATTGAATTGTCTATCCAGTACCCTTTCCCATCCTTTTGCTCAGACTGGTTTTCCTACCACCCCATTTCCCCAGTCCATCATCCACATGGTAACTACAAAGCCCCCCTCCACTTACTAGATACAGCTTATTGATCTTTATCATTTCCCTGAGGTTTCTGCAATTAAGAATGAAAGAGGTCAAACTCTTTCCTGATGAGAAACATTTTTTGTTGAAACAAGTTCAAATTAGTTTTGTGATGCTTATAAAGAGTCCTAATGGATGTGTACACACACACACACACACACACACGCGCGCACACACACACACTGGCTTTCTCTAAGCAATCTCTGTGTCATATCTTCCCTGCCCTTTTGCTCTAGTAAGTGGGCTTTGGTAACCAGGGAAACCGACTTGGTTCCCAGTCCTAAGGGATTACGGAAAGGTATCTCAAAATAGATAGAAACAGGGCTGAATTCTCTGCTCTTTGGAAGACACGTATAATTGCCACTCCCACTTTTTCTTGTATGTTCCTTCACTTCCATGTGGCTTTGACAAAGGGCGGATTTCACCACCCTTCTCATGCTGGCTGAATTTCAACCAGTAATTGACTTTCCCATGCCTTGTTTGCTGGATTTCAGATGAGCAATCAGCCAGAATCATGGCAAGGAGCCATTTCAACAGGCAGTTTCAAGTTCAGGAAAAACTATAATACAAAGATATGGGATCAATTATCTGGCTGAGGAACCAGGTAAGGAGAGAGTCCCATTCCTGGTTGATGTGGAGGTGAGACAACTATGAAGGAGTGTTCAGGAAAATCTTTAAGACAACCAGGCAATCAGCTAAAAATTTACCCTTACTGTCACTGAAGTATTCCTATTGAGTAAGTATTCTTTGAGTAAGTTAAAAGTAATAGACCTCTGACTTTAGTAGAATGTGTTTGGGAAAGAAGTCTCCTGCTTTTTAATAGAAAGATATAAAGCACTGAACATCCAACACTTAGATTCAACTTGGCAAAATAAACCTTCCTAAATAAGGTAATCTCTTCTGAGAGCATTGATATCCACTTTTTTTGAGGTCCTATTATGTAATGGTCAGAAATCTTTCCTCTTCTACTTACAACCTGAAATAAGTTACAGGGTTTCCTTTTGCTAGGGATCTAAAATTTTACCAAGTTTGATTTCTGGTTTATAATTTGCAAATATTATCAGAGACTCTTATGCTCACCTGCAGGATTAAAGAAAATCCTAAGACTTGAATAGTGATAGTCTTTGCAGACCTGGTGTAATTGCAATATAATTTCATACTTTTGGAGGATTTTTATTCAGCCTAAGCAAAAGGTTATGTGGGGCAGCAGTTTGTCCTGGAGCTTCTGTGAGTTAATTCTAGGGTCCTTAACTGGATTCTTTCATCCATGAAATGAGCCTAAGATCCTGATTATCCTTGGAGAAGTATTAATAATATATTATCATTGTGTGATTTGCATAGAAGATTGTTCAAAAGGCACATTTTCTACTACTCCTTTACACAGATGGTATTCATCCATTTAACAATTATCATGTAGTGAGGGTAAACACGTGAATGAAAGATTAAGAGACAGCTCTGAGGAACATATAGTATTAGAATAGCTATATATAGTAGCTAAATATAATAATATGAGAATATTCAACTCAATTCACACAGACTCATATTGACTGCTGCCACTGCAGCCTTTCCTTTCTCCTTTTTGAGGACATATCCCAAATTGAATCCATAATTTCTTCTCTAAAATTTCCTCCTTCTGAGTACACTTGCTCCATGATGGTCACCACCTATATGTGTAACTTAGTCTGTCTGGTATTGTTATAACAGAATCCCTCATGGATGTGGATGATGTATAAAGATCATAAGTTTATTTTGACTCACAATTCTGCTGACTGGAAAGTTCAATCAGCACGGTGCCGGTGTTCAGTGAGGGCCCCCTGGCTGTGTCACAAATAGAAAGGGGGCCAGTTGCATGAAGAAGGGATCAAGTGTGTGGGCAATCTCTCTTTATAACAGCCCACTCTCCTGAGAATCCTCCAATCACATGAGAGCTAAGCCACTCCTGCAAGATCCTATTACTCTTTCCAAGGGCGGGGCCCCCACCATAATCTCCCAGTACCTTTGCCTGATTTGGCACACGGCATCACTACTGTTCCACTAGGGACCAAGCTTCCAGCACATGAACCTTTGTGGGACAAACCACATCTAAGTCACAGCCACGCCCAAGTCAGAAAGCTGGGAGTTAAACCTTGACACATTTCCTTCCCTCTTTCACACTGCCAGGTCCCATCAAGTCACCACATTCTCTTAATTCAACCTAATAACATTTCTTTCTGTCTCTTTTCTCCTCACCCATTTCATTGCATGTCTCCTAGTTCACTTCACAATTGACCTTCATCTAAGTTACTGCAGCAACTTCCTAACTGCTCTCTGTGTCTCCATCCTCATTATCTCCACTACTCCATTCACATAGCAGCTACAGTAATATTTTTAAAGGACACGTGATTATTAAAGTTCTATGCCTAATACCTTCCTTGGGTCTCCATTGCTATTGGGGTAAAATCCAGTTGAAAAGCACCACCTGTCCAACCCGTATACCACTGCTTCCTCTTCTCCTCTCCTCCACAGCCACATGTAACCACTTGCTGCGCCCATGTGTCCCACTATTCCTAATTTCTGGACCTTTTCTATATCTCACGGAGCTTCCCTGTCCTCTTACCCGACTCCAATATTTTAATGCTAAAGTCTCGGGCCTCAAAATTATCAGTCATTATTGCCTTACCTACAGCAATTAAAATTGTCTATTAACTGCTTCCAAAGGAAGTGTACTTCCTATTTCTGATTTGTAACTGTAGAAATTTTCCTAAAATTTTAGGCAGAACAATCTGCCAGTATATCTACAATTAGTTAATGTAAAACTATAATGACTTTCTGCAAATATAGGATGGTCCTTCTAGCTTTGGAAAAGAATTAGGGACCTTGGAACACTAGACCTCTTTTAAGCTACCAGAGTATTATTCCATAAACACATGGCTGGTTACTGTAACTCTGAATTAAGCAAGATTCTTTCAGTGTCTATTGCCTACAATACTTCCTTTTCTCCCTTTCAGGCTATTGTTTGATGATGAAAATAACAATATTTTACTACATATTTTCCATTGGTAAGTTATAAAATAGCTTAGACCCTCATGACACTCTGACCCTCGGAATTAGTTTTTTAAAAATATTTGTAAATTGTTAGCTTTTTTCAAGATTTCATTTGGGTTTTTTTCCAGTTGTTTTTATTTAAATGTTTGTTTTCCAGTTGTTTTTATGTGCATGTTTTTTCCAGTTGTTTTTATGTACATGTTTGCAGTACTAATGATTACAGTCCTCATAGGGAGTTGGTGCACACACGTAACACGTCCTGACTATTTTTACTTCCCCTTCCCCGCCCTTCCCTTCCTCCTCCCTCCATGTCTTGGTTTCCTTCCCTTCTGCAAAACATCTATCTGCCTAGTTCATCTTTCTTAAGTTGATTTCACAATTTGGAATTAGAGTCCTATGTGCAATTGAAAAAGTACTCATTTATAAGTTTTGATAGTATGCAAATAAAATAGACTGAAGCAACTCTAGTTTCTATCTTTTATTTTCTTCTTTATTTATACTTTGCATTTCCCATAGAAGAGAAACCATGTGGTATTTAAGCAGGCATGTGATTTATTTCTCTTAACATTGTGGTCCCAGGAACACCTATTTTCCTACAAACGACTTAAATTTCTCCTTCATTATGGCAGAGTAGTACTCTATTGTGTATAAATATCACATTTTCTTTATGTGTTCATCTGTTGCTGGACGTATATGTTGGCCTGTTTTTTAAAAGACGTTCAACTCTGATGCTACTTTCTGTCCAACTCTTAAGTCATGGGTGAAGTTTGCTCTTGAGTTGTTCTACAACGACCTAGCTAGACGGGCTGGCTCTGAAGCTCTATTTTCTGTTTTTAGAAAACTTCTAGAAAATTCAAGCCAGAGATAATTGTTGGTAGACCCACAGGAATTTTGTTTTTCATTGTTTTCATGGCTAAAGCCTTTTGAAACATATTGGCATAAACTCACTAAATAACGGAATGAACACTTGACTTCATAATAGGAATTTATCTTTTCAAAGGTTGAGTAGAATTAATTTTATCTTCCAAAGAATTAAGTGTGTGTTTAAAAGTTTTATTGATACCTGAGTCTATTCAGTGTATCTTAAAGGTTTTTGTTTGTGTTATTTTATTTTTCCTATTGCATCCCACAATATGACACTCATTTCACATCACAACCTAATTCTAGGTAGAGAGATAGATATCAAAAGAGGATATACAAACATACAAAAGAGAAACAATATTTCCATAAAATAATACACACTGACATCACTGACATTTTTATGTTTATTCTAATCTATACTATCCTACAATATTCTGGTTGCTACTCGTTAAGTTGATTTTATAATTTGCAATTAGAGCCCAATGTGTAATTTTAAAGGTTTATGATTTTTGACTGTGAGCAAATAAGGCAAGTAAAATGCACTGAGGTAACACTGTTCTTTTTACTTTCTCAAACTTTTTTCCACCTTTTTTCTTCTTTGATCTCTAGGTGTTCAGTAATTGTGACTTTCTTACCATTTGTAGCCTTCAAGGTGAGCAGGTGAGGAAGTTGGGCCAATTTTAATATTTTCCTCTCGGTCACAGTGATTCTTCCTGGTAAGGACATTTAACTTGAGATGTGCTGGTCAAGACTTCTCGACTGGGATGAAATGGAACAAGGCTTCTTTCTTCTGGGGTCATCAGCTGTGTGCAGATGACTCTAGGCTGTTTGTGGCCCTCTATATCTCACTTGTGTGAGAAGGACCTGATTGAATCATGAAGCCAAACTCTGCTGAGGAATGGCAAGGGACAGAGAGAACCCTGGCAGCAATGTTTCAGCAACTGGATTAAGTTGCAAAGAATCTAGGTGGAATTTGTATTCATACATGAGACAGTATGATTTTCTTTTTCTTTAAAATATTTCAAATTTCTCATTTTCCAGATAGAAGAGTCCTGATAATATGGTAAGGCAGATGAATATAAGGGCTTGATGTTCATGGTTTGAGAAGAAAGATCATGGGCTCATGTGCATATTTAACATTCTGTCATTCATAAGAAAATGTGACTTCTACATCAAGATGGTGTACTTGAAGAATATATATATATTTTTGTACCAGGGATTGAACTCAGGACCTTGCGAGGCAGGCAGCGGAACCACTAAGCTAAATCCCTGGCCCTGGGGAAGAATGTTTTTAAGTTATATCTTGGAAGAAGCCTATATGTCCAGCAGTGGATGAATGGATGAAGAAAATGTGGTACATATGCACTATGGACACTACTCTACCACAAAGAAGGATAAATTTGAGTCATTTGTAGGAGAATGGATACACTCCAAGACCATAATGCTAAGAGAAACAGAATCAGAAGGTTAAATATTTCATGGTTTCTCTTATGTGAGAAACCCAAAGTATAAATAATCTTAAGTGCAAAATAAAATGTAGATGACTGGAAACAGCAAGGTAGACCTTTCAGAGATGGGAAGGTGATCAAGGAATGGGGAAATAAAAGGAAAAAGAGGAGAACTGGAAGTGAAAAGGATCAAGATGTGATATATATATATCAACCGCCCATAATGAAAGTATTCATTATATATTGCAAACATGTGCTAATACAAATGTATGGCTTCATACGTCCTTCCTTTCCACCCATGCTACTTCATTTGCCTATTATTTTTCCCCATCCCATCAACTTAATGTTTTATCCATGTTCTCTGGAAAAGAATGATATGGGAGAAATGTAAAAAATCTAAAATTTTCATTTTTAGTTGCCCAGGGTTTAGGAGAACATGAAGGAGGTGTGATAAATAAGAAAAATGCTTTCTAATCCTAATACCAGAAAGCAATCCTTAGGTTGTGGGGTGTGAGGTTGAAGAATGAGAAGCTATAAACAAAGTCACCCAGGTCTGCTCCAGTGTCTGGGCCCATGAACAGGGTGGGACACCAATGCCTGAAGAGGTTCTGGGGTCTATTCAGCGAGGACATGAATTCCCTGTGCTGTTTTGTTAGTTATTCTTGTGCTGAGGCTCAGTGAAAGCCTCTTCCAACAACAGTTACATCACCTGCTGAGTGTCCCAGTCGGTGACACTGGGAAGGCTGCTGCTCTGTGTCCCAGAATTATCCACTGGGTAGATAATACCCACTAGGATGCACAAAGGCCCCCTGAAATAGAGGACGGGGCCCTTGACACAAAGACCTCTAAGCCCATTGCATATGGACTTGAACGTAGGAGGTACCACTAGCCTGAAATCTATGCAGTAATAAAAGTCCTAACCCAACCCTTAACCTGGCCACCCAACATTCCTTCCTCTCCCCTATAACATACACCATTACTTCCACCACCAGCTTCATACTTGATCTATCTATCTATCTATCTATCTATCTATCTATCTATCTATCTATCTGTATATATAGGAATTCAATCACTCAGCACTAAAATGTTTTACCCATTTTTGTTTCATAACTTCTCAACAAATACTATCAATGTTAACTAAGCCAATACTAAGCACAAATTGACAATCCAAGATTTCCTTCCCTCTGTTGCTCACTATGCAGCAGGGGGTGTGGGATTTGTGTGAAGCCAATTCCAGTATTGATGTACAAAGCATGAGCTAAAAAATATGGTGGATGCTTAAATTTTTAAAAATTTATTATAGTAAAAGTCACATTGGCATTAATCCCTTGCCTCAAACTCTTACCCCAACATTCTTGCTGCTTTCTGAAGCAGTTCTAGAAGTCCTCTTTCATGAATGCACTGTTGTGCCTGCCTCAGTGTCCCAAATAAATTCAAAATGTTTAGCTTTCATGGTCATTTTGACTTGGAGAAAGAACCAGAAGTGATTACAGTGCCAGATTCATTGAACAAGGTGAATGAGGACACAGTGTGATTTTTTACAAGCCTGCCTTTCTGTTGGATGGAACACAGAAGCAGCATTTACCAGACTTTTTCTTTTTTTAAATCACACCTCCTAGAGACACTCACAAAAGAGCACTTCCAGAACTGCTCCAGAAAGGCAGAACCAGGGGATAAGTGTGAGTGCCTCCCTGGTGGTCTAGAGGTTAGGATTCCACGCTCTTACCACAATACGATAGTGTGTTTGAAGTGAGGAGGAGTATTGTGAAGGGGATTAATAACAATGTATCTTTCACTGTAATAATTTTCTTAAATACACACTGTATTTCTCCATCACTCCTTGTAAGTACTGTCACTTCAAAGGGCTGATGGAACAGGGTTGTCCTAGGTAGCCTTCCAAGATCTCTTCTATCCCATCATCTGGTAATTTTTCTTTGGCTAAAAGCGTTTCTTCTTCATTACACTGTTCATTCCAGTTTAGCCATCAGTATTCAACCTGCATTGTTCAACAAGAGAATGTTTCTATAAGGTTTCCCGTGGGGTAAAATCTGGCCTTAATTACTGTTTAAAAATAAAGAGTACCCATGAGCTTCTGGTAGATCAACCCCCCCCCCCACTGTATTGATAAATTCTCAGGCAAGTGCAGGGCTCCAGATCCATTTGCTCAAGTGCCTTCTACAGGCTCAAAAAACTAACTCCCCTAATCACAGCCTTGCCAATCAGGTAGAGGCCTCTTTCATCACAATTTCCACTCCAGCACTGGTATCAATTCTCTCCTCTTCACAGAAATAGCCTGCCCTTCCTATTGCTTCTCTTCCTCTCTAAACCCTTTCAATAATTGAGGCTAACCCAGCTCCACAAGGCGCTCCTCACCCTTGGTCAGCCCTTGATTTCCTAGTTGCAGAGTGCCTACGTCACAGACATCAAATCCTGATCTCCTCTGGTCAGCTCAACGCCATTAAGTGGTACTTGAGAGAGACTGCTTGAGTGAGTGGCTTTGTGGTGGGTTGTGGTTTTTTCCTCCCTACCTCTTCTCAGAGAGTCTTTCTGAGGAAATACATTTTGAGCTAAGAGGCTCTTCCAGGGTAGAGAATATATTTGTAGGTTTCAAGAATTAAAAACCAGACCACCACCTGCCAGAACAGCTAGAATGGAACTGAACACCTCCCCTGGAGGAGGGATCTGCCCTTATTAGAGAACAAACTCGGCTTCCTAATGCACGGTAGGAATGAATTTTTAGAAACGGAAGACATATCGTTTTGCAAAGATTACATAACATTCCAAAGATGAACATTTTTAAGTATTCTGTTTGGGTAACTGCATTACAGAGTAAGTTAATAACTCAAATGACTACATCATATTAAGAGGCCAAGTATTCCCCCGAACAGTAGTTCTATATTCCTTTCATTCTATGGATTCAGAGAGTTCTTTTGATGGATCATAATGCTTTTATGAACCCACAACCCAAAAGGAGAAGAGCAGTAGTCACTGTGGGTGGCCTTCCATGGTAAGTGTGGCTTATTCCCTCCTTTCCCCCAGCCCCAAAATGATCTGTATAGGATAAAATTCAGATATCAGGAGCCATATGCATTAGGAATAATAATCAATGTTTGGCATAACCTTGTCACATCCTGGTAATAAATTAGCTAGTTGATGTCATATTAAGTGGAACATATTCCTGTTGATTGTCAAAGACTAGACATTGACCTTAAAATGCCATTGTTGACTTCTATTTGTTTTATTGCAATACTATGTGAGCACCTCACCTTTAAAACAGCAGAATTAACCTTCTCATTCTCTTCACATGTCTGGCAGCAACTTCTTCACAGTGATATCTTCCAAGGTTGGCACTGGAGAGAGAATTTTGAGCTGGAAAGGTCTGGCTGCCCAGCCCTGGCTGTCTCCCTTGGCAGAAAGCAGTTTTTCACAACATTGTAGACACTTTTCAAACTTTTCTTAGAATTCAGGACAAAGAAAGAGGTGATTGGAAATGGGAAAGGTTTACCTGCGGTTACTGATTACAGTTTAGTTTCCAGTTTCTAACTTCCTATAGGGAAAATAGTCTTATTTTATCCTGTAAGGACTTCTTATTACAACACAATCATCCAACATCAGACTAGGGGACAGCATGTGGACCTTTTCCCTACATGATTATCTATGATAAATACAATCATAATAATTTATATAAATATATTTCATTCACATATGATTGCTTCTTAAATTCTCTTAAAATCTAGTAAGTTAGTCACGACTATGTTCTATCTCCACTTAAAATATTCTACTAACTCTACTTTATCTATAAGATCAGCTCTAATCTCTTCAGTGTGACATTCAAGGTTCTGAGAATAGAACAGGAAATAATGGAACCAAGTTGAAGAGCACTACATTTTCCCCCTTGTGTCGGTTTCCTGTCCTGATGCGTGGTCCTCAAATGCAAGGGTGTGGTTTAGTCCTGTCTCTGGCACTTACCATCCATGTGTCCTAGGAACAATGCCTCAATGTTTTTGCTTTTTTGGTACTGGGGATCAAACTCGGGAGCTTGCATTTTTGAGGCAGGCAGTAGAACCACTGAGCTAAATCCCCAGCCCCTTGACTCAATGTTTTGACAGAAGGAAACCGAGTTTCAAAGATGTTTACTGATTTCTCTAAGGGTTCAGATGCAGAAAATGGCACATGAGACTGGGGCCCGGTCTGTTCGATAACAGTGAGAAGCTCCTTTGCCATTTCTATAAGTCAACTCACTGATGTTTACAGCACCCAAGACACAGAAGAAACTCAATTCTGCCTTGTCCTCCTCCTCCTCCTCCTCCTCCTCACCCCACCTTCTTCTTCTTAGTCCTGGTTCCGCACAGCGGCCAGAGCTAAGCCTCTCGCAGTGCATTAGGTACACAGTCAACATTGTGTGTGTCTCGAGTTGATGATCAAACTAATGATATTTATTTCTCAGATGATGGAACTCAGAAATATTTAATGGCTGGCATAGTGGCAGGGAGAGAAAATGGTATAGCCCGGATTAGCATCAAGATCCTTTGATGGTTAATCTCATGTTCTTGCCATGTCTTCACTAATCAGATATTTAAACTTTAGACTTATGGACATATAATTGAGAATAAAAGTGTGCATACTTAAATTTTCTAAGAGAAGAGAATTCTTGGACAAAAATCCATCTTATTTCTCTATTGGTATGATTGACAAAATATGTTATTTCTTTAGAAATCCCGCGATTGTACTTTTTAAACATGATTTTTAAATTGTGCTTCCCTGAAGAAGAATAAAAACAGATTTTAGCAGGTAGGCTACAAGGAATTGAAACATGTGACACTTATGCTACATATAAAGCTATTTTTATTGATATAATTCTTAGGATATCAAAATAATAGCACATGTATGTGCCTATGTATTGTTCTCTTAAGCCTTTTCCTCCCTTCAATCCCCAGGTTGCTTGAAAATGTGGAGGAAAGTCCAGAATTTACAATGCATTTCTTTGACTTGGACTTGAACAGAAGAAAAGCACAACCTAAAAACTTAAGTGTGGCCTCAAATACAGCAAATATAGATTATTTTTTCTTCCCACTATTCTCTTCAGAAACTTACTTATGGAACACTGGAAAGGAATACAGCTTAGAGCTTAAAATAAAGAAAGGCAAAGAAAAGAATTTTTTCCCCTTCCTAGTGATTGTAACATCCTTTTAAAAGCTTGAGAATAAAACTTCCTTCCCTATCAATGTTGAGTTTTTTTCCCATTAAGCAAATATTGATTTTCCCTCCCCCTTCTGAAATAGGAGTCCAAATTACCCTGCCTCTTTGGGTAGCCCACTTCCTTCTTAGTGTACTAGCAACAAGGCTGTCTGTGGGAGAGGTGGCAGCAACAGCCAACAGGGGGTGCTGTCTGCATATTTTGATGAGGAAAGAAAAAAAGATTAGATTCAAAATAGTCTTTAGTTTTCTGTTTCTTTTACTTTCAAAGGAAAAGTAAAGACTTGTTCTTCTCGCACACAAAGGTTCTGCAAATGTGTGCAGAAGGAAAGTGAGGAAATGCATAGGTCTATGAAGGAGGCCTGAGGGGCGGCCACTATTTATACGTGAGATGGGAATTTAAGGTTCTAAGGGACTTGGGTCCCTGAATGATTTGGGTCACTGATCATCAATTACACTTAAATTTTCCAGGCTATAATGACTAAATTTATTGGGCAATTCATCAATTTCTTACTCTGTGTATGTGGATCAGAGGGAATAGTAAGAAAACATGTTCTGATTTGGCTTTTCTTGGATGATCCTCTGCACATCTTTTAGCATCCAGCCTTGGATCCTCCATGTGTAGAATGCAGAATAGGAGTGTGCAGACCTGCTGACAGCTTCTCCTACAGGCTACACTTCTTGGTGGTGTCCAAATGGTGGACAAAGACCATAGCAACATTTCAGTAGGTGTGATTTTAAGAACAGCCATACATTATAAGATTATATGGGAAAATGTTCAGATTTAAAGTTGCTCTTACCTACTTAGATTCTGACTGAATTTGAACTGATAAAAAAAACTCTTAAAAAAACAATGAACACATGGTATATTCAAATATTGTCTGATCCTAACATTTAAAAGGTCAAACTTAAACTTGGAAGGCATTCAAAAGAAGTTACTCAAGTACCAAGCAAATGCTGGCAGAAACGAGTTATTCTGAAACATTTGCCTCTGAAGACAGATGAAAGAGATCAGTGGTAACAAGCTCTCATTAGAAGAAAATATGGTATGTGGCCAGCCTTATAAAATTCATCAGGATATATCATCAAGAAATACCAAAAATCACAGATGTCTCCTGAAATACTTAGGAATAGTTAATATTGCTTACTGTTTATCAGACTAATAAATAAGGTTTCCTGTAGAACTTTTAAAGCCTTTGTTTTGATTTACACAGAAAAGACCTGAGAAAGAGTGATGGCCATGCTCATTATTCAACAAATACCACAAGGAAAAAAATGTACATCTTGGAAACATACTTTGTTTTCTCTTTCTGAAGCCTAAACAACTTCCAGCTAAAAGACATATTTTGATTAAGATAATATTTTTCCCTAATCAATATTTTTTACCTCTGGGTTATTACTTCCTTGAAGGCTTCTCTGCCTTTTTTCCCTCTTTCTAAATTAGTCCATGTAGTTTATGAGAAATCATCAGCACAGCTATACACTGCTGTTTACATTAAATCTTTCCCTTAATATTTACTGCTGGGTGTCAGGGCTTGTCTCTAGCCTTTATGGTTTGGCATCAAATCTTGAGATGTGTATTTTATACTTAATTGGAGTGGGGATAGGAGCTCAGAAGTGGAATTAACCATTAATGAAATCAGACTCCTGTTGACCAACATTCAGTTTCCAACTTGGGTGGTTATATGCCTGAGCGCTCCTTGGTGTGAAACCATAGCCACTGTGGTAGGAGGCTTGCTTGGTGCATGTGCCTAGAATTATGTAGGTGATGTCTATGTCAGTTTCTCTGGAGCTGTCTAAAGGTCTACTCCTGCACTTCCCTCATTGCAGAGTGGTGATAAAGAATATGGGGACTGGTGCTGGTCTGTGGGCCATACTGGGAGCAACACTGGCAGAGTGAGTTGACAGAGAAGGGGAAAGTGTACTCAGCCTTTTATTTTGTGCACTCCAGTGCCCTGTGTTTCCTCAAGCACTCAGGTGCACATCTACACACACACACACACACACACACACACACACACACATGGCTCCTAAGAAGCTAAGAAGGAAAGGGTGTTACCTAAGCCCAAATTTTTAGGATAATGTCTTAAATCATAGTCCTGTCCCCGAACTCTTTCTCTACATCAGTGTTTTCACTGCTAAATAAGGGAATGAATTAGAGTGAAAAGCATATGTATCTCCAGGGTTAGAATCAGCAGATCGAAAATGAAAGGAAATAGTATCAAAAGTATCCTGCCTTATCATTAGCTTTTCAAAAAGCAATGTGCATTATTGCCATGGTATCATCATGTGGTCAAAATGTTTTACGTATATTTTTAAAAGGTAGGAGTGAGCAGTTCTTAAAATTATCACCAATAATCTGGGTGCGGTGGTGCATGCCTGCTATCCCAGCACTCAGGAGGCCAAGGCAGGAAGATCACTGTGAGTTTGAGACCAGCTTTGGCTACGTAGTGAGTTCAAGGCCAGCCTGAACTACATTGTGAGACCCTGTCTCAAAACAAAAATGTTACTGCCAACAGCTACTGATTCATTCTGCTCTACTTTCACATTGAAATGTCCACGAAATTCACCAACAAAACACAGCTCTGCAACTGCACCGGACCAGGGTAAGGGTTGTGTTCTAGCAGGAGTGCAAGCTGATGCTTCTGGTAAGAGGAATCAGGGTAGTTCTCCCCGACCCCTTCCCTCCTCTCCACCCTCATTTGTCTTCTACCTATCTATGAAGGTTAAGTTTAATTGTCAACTTAACTGGCTTGAGAGCTGCCTAAAGCACAAGTTTGAGTGTGACAGGATGGGTCATGGAAGTGTAACCTCCAGGTCCACATCTGATATCTCGACCATTCGTCTCTGGCACTGTTTCCCTGTTCTACGCTCCAGCCCCATAAACTAAGCATTTTTTGCTTCACCATGAGATTCCTGCCTTGGAGCCAGCCATGGACTGAATCCCCTGAAACCCTGAGCCAAATTAAATCATTTCTTCCTTTAAGTTGAGGGTGTCAGATATTTGGTTCCAAGTAACAAAATATCCAATTAAAAAGTATATTTTAACTTATAAAATCTACCATCTTTAATCTGCTGATTTAAAGACTATGATCCGGAAGTGTTAAGCACATTCACAGTGTCGTGTGATCAGTCTCCAGGACTCTTTCCATCTTGCACAATGAAATTCTATACTCATTGGAATACAACTCCCCATCCCCTCCCTCAGCCACCGACAGCCACCATTCTCCCAGATGTGTCTATGAATTAGAATATCCCAGGTGCTTCCTGTGAGTGGACTCATGAATTATTGGTCTTTTTGTAGCTGAAAGACAATTTTTTGGTAACTAATATCCTCAAGGTTTATTCACGTTGTGGAATGTATTGGAATTTCTTTTTTAATGGCTAGATAATATTCCTTTGTAAATACACATACTATGTTTTATTTAGTCATTCATCCAATGATGGACCCTCTATCTTTTAGCTGTTCTGAATAATGCTGCTATGGACATGTATATACATATATCTCTTTAGGACCTTGATTTCAGTTCTTTTGGGTAAATACCCAGAAGTGGAATTGATAACTCTGTTTTACATTTTTTTTTGAGAAACCCATCTTTTCTATTCCATTTTACATTCTCACTAACAGTACATAAGTGTTCCAATTTCTCCACATCTTGTTTTTTTCTGGGTGTTTTTTGTATTTGTATTTGATTTTAATTTACATTTCCCCCCAGTTAGTGTCATTAGATATCTTTTCATGTGCTTATTGGTCATTTGTATATCTTCTTTGAAGAAATAGCTATTCAAGTCCTTTGTCTATTTTTAATTGGATTGTTTGTTGTTTTTTTCTTCTTTCATGGTTGATTTTAGGACTTCTTTATATGTTCTAGAAATTACTCCTTATCATGCGTTAGTCATGTGTCTAATACTGTAACAAAATATTTGAGATAATCAACTTAAAAAGAAGAAAAGTTTATTTTGTGTCATAGTTTTGAAGGTTTCAGTCCATGGTCAGTTGGCCCAATTGCTTTTGGGCCTGTGACAAGGCAACACATCATGCCATGAGCTCATGGAGGAGACAGCCCTGTCGACAAGAAAAAGAGGAAGAGACAAGTGTTCCTTTGAGACACTCCCTCAATGGCCTATGACCTCTCACTAGGCTCCACCTCTTAAAGGTTCCACCACCCCCAACAACATCATAGATTTTAACAAGTGGGCCTTTGCAGGATGCCCATCCAAACCATAGCATCTGATATATAATTTGCAAATATTTTCTCCCATTCTACATGCTGTCTTTTCACTCTGATTGAGTCCTTCAATGTATGGAGTTTTAAGTTTTGAGGTAGTCTAATTTATTTATTTTTTGTTGCCTTTTGGTGTCATAGTCAAGAAAACACTGCTGAATCCAACATCATAAAGCTTTTCTCCTATGTTTCATCTAATTATTTTATTGTTTCAGTACTTATTTTTAGGTATTTGATCAATTTGGAGTTAACTTTTTGATATGTGTAAAATAAAGGCCTTTCAACATTATTTTACATATGGATATTCAGTTTTCTCAACACCATTGGTTAAAACATATGTCAGGTTTTCAAAAAATGTTTATTGCTTTTGTTTGTTTGTTTGTTCATTTGATCTGCGAGAAGTATTTCTTCAGCTGTATTGTACATTGGCCCCAGCCTGAGCTAGAGGTTGAACAAAGTAGAGGTGAAGGGATGTTGGTTGAGCTCACTGCCTGGAGGGGTTGATTTGATCATCAAAAAGCATTGGGGAGTTAGAAATGAAGGTGCTGTGCTTGTGAAATGTGCTATGTTACAACATAAATAGGCCTTTTAAAAAAGTTGCTTACTTCTATGTACCAGATTATTTAAAAACTTGGTGGTTTGAAACAATGCTCATTTATTTTATGTGTCACAAATCTGGTTACCAACTAGCCATGGGCCTCTGACTCCAAGGTTCTCCTGAGATCATAGTCAGGGCATCTGCCCAGTGGTGATCTCCTCTGAAGCTTTAATG